CTAGTTAACATTCGTGTCACTCAGCTGTTGGCTCACACGCTGGCCAATAGAATCTTCCTGTCTATTTGTGGCAGCCAGCTATAGGCTCTCACTCTGGCCAGTACAAAATGGCCGCAAACTACATGAAAACTGCCGTAGAAGCATGAAAAACCGATTATTTCCACTATCGATGGGAGTTGGGAAATGCAACGTCGGTCTTGGCTTTCCCGCTAACTTGGAGCATGTGCATGTAAATATTGGTGCAAATCCGTCAAAAATTGCGGCCGTGCATTCGTTACACACACACACACACACACACACACACACACCACACACACACACACACACACACACATACATCCTGTCTTTAATAGATAGAGATATATAATATACAGAGTGCGATGTTTAAATTGTCACAATTTTATATTTTTAATTTCGCGACTGTGCATTGTTTGTTTTTGATTTTGTTGACTGCACATTATAGTAGGGTCAGCTGGGCATCGTCTGTGTGAAACAGAGCACCTTGAAGCAATTCTCCCCACCAGAAATTTGGAAATGGCATCCTGTACTGCTTAGCATTCGCACCGGAAGCTCTATTACAAACATTTCAGAATTTTGGGGTTTCAATCTGAGGATTGTGCAGAAGATTCTGAAAGAGTTGGATGATATATCCAGTTAATATCGTATTGTTTAGAGTGATCACTAGTGATGACGAAGTTATGCTTCCACACAGGGCCTCAGACTCAACATGGAGGCTCACATCAAGTGCCTTGACCAGGCAGTGCTGCTTTAGCTCAAGAGGGTGGCCGTTGGAAGACATTAGGTCTGACAACTGAGCTTTGAACCACACCACACAAACAGGAGAACCCATTCATGGCTGTCAGACAATTTTTACGACCACATCATGCCTTATATTTGGTCACCTAACGCCCTACACTTCAACTCCCCTTGATTAATATGTCTGGTGCGAAGTTGAGCGAGAGACCAACAAAACTCCTTGTAATATCGAAGATGAACTGAAGGCAACAATTTTGGCAGCCTTCACTAACTCAAAGAAGTAGATCGACCAGAAGAGTTGCAGGAGATTTCGAAGTCGTCTGGAGGTCGTGGTTGGCGATTTTATTGAATAAATTTACTGTTTAGTATTTCAAGATACTTTTGTGTAATTTTGGTAAATATATCTGTTATTTTCATTTTTGCGTAATTTAAACACTTTATCCATCGCGTTTTGTGTGTGAATATAATAGAATGGCAAAGCAAAACAAATTGGTACTAATTATCGTTAATCTAGTCAATGAATTCTTTGTCACTTTCATTGTAGGTGAAACAGAATTTAATCCATAATTAATTATAGTAAAAATTCAAGGTAGGCAAAAATAGAAAATTGTACTCAGAAAGTCGGTGTTTTTGCGTGTAAATGTGGCTAACACTTCAGCTTGAATATTGGAGCACTTCGATTTAAAACGATCGTTTTAAATCTGTTGAAACAATCGATTATATACAATCACTGTGAGAACATTAAGAGACATAAGATGACAAAACATGCAATCGATTTCATAAGATCCATTACATAACTATTGACCTTGTTTCCTTTAGCCAACTGCGAAATGAGACAATGTATAAGAGGAAAATGCGAAAATCTTTTATATTTTTTTTCGTAAATAAAACTTAAACAACAATCATTATCACGATATTTTGAAATAAATCTATTTTCTGAGATATCCTAAGGCTTAAAAATTGACTTTAAAATGTTTAACAACAGTGATGAGGAGCGTTCTGTACAAGTCGCCACCACGATAATCAAATATGTGCGTGGTAGTGTGGCTGTTGAATACTAAGAGCTATATATATATATATATATATATATATATATATATATATATATATATATATATATATATATAAAGGGAAGAGGTTATAGTAGTTCCAACGAGAAAAGTATATATTAAAAGAAGAAAGCGCAAACGTTTTTGGTTGTAATGTGGATTTTAAAAAAAAATTTCTTTATTTTCCATAATTTTGCTACACGGGTTTCTGGCCTCACGACCTTCATCAGGCAAAGCGTAGACATTGCCACATATTAAAAATAATTTTTTTCTTATGTTTTTCGATGTCCAATATTCTCGATATGAGACATTCTCTTTTTAGTGTGTTAGTGACCCAAATGTCTTTCTTGAACTGGCAGTGAAAATTTCTGCTTGAAGGATTATAAAACAATTAAGATTGGTCCGAGAAATGGTGAAGGACTTATCGGCATTTTTATCTTTTAATGACTCCTGTGTTTTCTTAAATCTATTTCCATTTTCTTGTGTTTTTGTCAGTACGAGTATATTCCCTCTCCATACATACACACTGTCTTATTACGAAGAATTAGTAAACACATTTGAACACATACACACACACACATATATATATATATACACACACAAATGCACACACACACTTACATACATACATACATACGTACATAAATGTGCCTATACAGGCAAAGTTACAAGGAATCAGTATACACGCACACAGTCATACACACATACATACGTACATACACACACACACACACACACACACACACACACACATATATATATATATATATATATGCATGTATATATATATATATGCATGTATATATATATATATATATATATATATATGATTGATATTTCCCCTAGTGTGATTTTCCGATTTCTTTTTTTGAATTTGTAGGTCTGATGAATTGGATCGTTATTATTCCAATGTAATAAAATTATAACCATGGAATATTAATGTTTGTGCCTTTTTTATTATATTCTTCTCTGTCCTGACATTGAGCTCTACCTGGATTCTATCCTCTTGGTTATATATATATATATATATATATATATATATATATATATATTGACTGATATATATATATATATATATATATATATATATATATATATATATATATATATATATATATATATATATATAGTATTGAACAGCCACACTACCACGTACATATTTGATTATCGTGGTGGTATGACTTGTACAGAACGCTCCTCATCATTGTTGTTAAACATTTTAAAGTCATAATTTTTAAGTTTTAGGATATCTTATAGATTTATTTCAAATCGTGATAATGATTGTTTTTTAGTTTTTATTTGCGAAAAAAATATAAAAGATTTTTCGGATTTTCCTCTTACACATTGTCTCATTTCGCAGTTGGCTAAAGGAAACAAGGTCAATAGTTATGTAATGGATCTTATGAAATCGATTGCATGTTTTGTCATCTTATGTCTCTTAATGTTCTCACAGTGATTGTATATAATCGATTGTTTCAACAGATTTAAAACGATCGTTTTAAATCGAAGTGCTCCAGTGTTAGCCACATTTACACGCAAAAACACCGACTTACTGAGTACAATTTTCTATTTTTGCCTACCTTGAATTTTTGCTATAATTAATTATGGATTAAATTCTGTTTCACCTACAATGAAAGTGACAAAGAATTCATTGACTAGGTTCAATTAAGTCTCATTTAAAAAAAATCATGGAAACCGTCCCAACTCCACCCACAACATGTAGAAAGTGCAAGCATAATAGCTTCATCCACATATTAAAAAGACTAAAAATAATGCAACTACTAATAATAAAAACTAAAACCCAGTACTAAGTAACATCTACTATAAACGCAGACCCAATATCCTGACCATGTTTGGTAAAAAACAATTCCGATTATTCCAGAAATATACAGTGCCCTCTAAAATTATTGGAACAACAAGGTCAACTTTTCATTATCCTACTGCATGACAAAATTTCTTCCGATTAGTTTGGATGCATTTCTATGTAAATTAGCAGACAAAATGTTGCTGTTGACTTCTGAATTCATTCTGTTGTTAGTATCATGAGTTAAATTATCAATAAATATGAATGATTCGGTTCCGGAAGCAGGCATGCAAGCCTAAGCCAAGACACTGCTTCCACCATGTTCCATAGATGAGCTTGTATGCTTAAGATCATAAGCAGATTCATTCTTCACACTTTGGCTTTTCCATCACTTTTGTAGTGATTAATCTTGGTCTCATCAGTCCATAGAACCTTCGTCCAGAACTTTTGTCACTCATCTCTGTACTTCCTTGCAAATTCCAATCTGACCTGCCGATTCTTACTGCTGCATTTTGTTGCGTGGCAATCTATATTTCTGCTTTCAAAGACTTCTTCGAACTGTGGATTGTGAAATTCAAAAGTCAACAGAAATATTTTGCCTGCTAATTTACAGAGAAAAGCAACGGAACTAATCGGGAGGAATTTTATCATGCAGCAGGACAATGAGCCAAAACATACTGCCAATGCAACAATGGACTTCATCAGGGAAAAAATTGGTCAGTTTTAGACTGGCCAAGTCAATCACCGGACCATAACCCAATAGTGCGTGCATTTCATCTCTTGACGAGGAGACTGAAAGAAGAATTCGCCAAGCAAGAACTGAAAAAGACAACGTTAAAAGTCTGGAAAAGCATTGCAAATGAAGAATGCAATAGTTTGGTGATATCGATGGTTCGCAAGTTTGATGCAGTTATTGCAAACAAGGGTGATGCAACCAAATATTAAATTTTATTTAATGTCTGTTACTTTACATTTGATAAGCTAAAATGGAGGGATCTGATACTAAAGGTGCTAACATTCAGTTAAAAAGCAAAAAAAAAAAAAGAATAAAATCCTTGATAATGGCTAATAGCGGAAAGCGCTCGAATATATAAAACATTCAGACAGTTTTACGCACTTTATATCCAGAAAAAGAAATCACTTATACGGACACAAGAAAAATTGAATAAAGTGTTTAAACGTAGTACTTTGTCACTTTTCTTTAATTTAACTTCTATAAAATCAGTGTCGCTGCCCAAATAATAAATACAAATAAAATATATAATCCAACCATTAATGCATCCATGTGCCATGTTTTGTATCAATAAATTTAGTTATCTGTAAGATAAGGTTCTTTTTCTTACAGTTTTTAGTGTGTTCTCAAATACCTTACGCACTCTGTATCAATAGAAATGTCGGAAGAGCAAGGACAAATATCTACGGTAAAATGGTGACTCGAAAGGTTATAGGAAAACATAAAAAAACAATAACAAAAGAAGCTAACCAGCTATCGTTCCGCACACTTCAGAGCTCAATCGAAGACAAAAAATTTATGCACAACGAGTAAAATATAATTGAGAGGAAAAATTACCAGAGACAATAAACAATACGAACCAGAAACAGATAAAATTGAGACCCTAACAAACAATACATCTACCAATGGAGGGGAGATCTAAATCTAAAAATTCATAACTTAGAATGCACATGAACTTTATGGACATCCTGTATATATATATATATATATATATATATATATATATATATATATATATACAGGGTACATATATATATATATATATATATATATATATATATATATATATATATATACAGGGTATATATATATATATATATATATATATATATATATATATATATATATATATATGTGTGTGTGTGTGTCCATAAAGATCGTGTGCACTTTTAAAATTTATAACTTTAAATTGCACACGAACTTTATGGTTCTGTATATATATATATATATATATATATTTGTGTATTTAGGCAGAATGTTTTCATTCATACATGTTTCATTAAATAATATAGACAAGTGTTGTCTATTTTATGTAAATTCTTTTCATAACGTCTGATAAGCTTAATAACATTATTAGACCTTATGAAAAGAATTTATATAAAATAAATAGACAACACTTGTCTATATTATTTAATGAAACATGTGTGAATATATATATATATATATATATATATATATATATATATATATATATATATATATATATATATATGTCCATAAAGTTCGTGTGCACTTTAAAAATTTATAACTTTATTTGTATTTGCGATAGAAATAATTTGTAAAAGGATTAGAAAAAAGTAAATCTATATTTTTTTAAGGTATTACTGAAATTTTATTTTATTATTTTTGTTTCCACATGTCCTCCATCATTAGCAATACAAAGGGTAATACGATTTTGCAGTTCACGGAAAATATTTGGTAACTGATTTACAGTAATGCCTGAAATCTCATTAATTATTTTAGCCATACCTAAAACTAGGTACATTAAACTTTATAACATTTTTTACAGATTATTTCTATCGCAAATACAAATAAAGTTATAATTTTTTAAATTCCACACGAACTTTATGGACACCCTGTATAAGATCTCAAGTCAAATAAACATTTGTTACTAAGTAGGTAGGAACAAATGTATTGTTTTTGTATTTGTAAAATCTGAAATTTTACAATCATGAACAAGTAGTAAGTACACATTTGTTAATAAATGGACACATACAATGGATGTTATGAAACTGATACCAAATGTAACAATTTAAATAAAGATGGAAACAAATAAAATTGTCTATTTTCTAAATTGAGAAACTGAATGAAAAGTCTGCATGAAATGTAATTACTTGTTCAATTATTAAAGCAAGCATTTCACTCGAAGAAAGTTTTGGGAATAAGACAGAGCACGCTTTTATCTCCTCCACGTTGTCTTTTCGGCTTCGTTGAATAGGCCTGCCGTGTTCCAAACAAAATGTTGAACAGCGTGAGATTGAATGCTACCATAGACAATAAGAGGAGAATTATGCTTGGATGAAAGGACGTTGGAACACAATGTTGTTTAATCTCCAAACAGATTAGAAGAAAAGAAAATCAATTAAGACGAAATCCAGCACGAACAGTATCAATCGGCCATTTTAGCAGTCATCTTACTAACTTGGCGATAGATTTTCCACGTCAAAGGTACAAAATCATGACGGATGATCAGTTCATTAATTACATTCTGCTTCGTTGAACTTGCCTCACCCTATGCGACGACCCCCCCTCTAAATCCCTTCTCTTTCTCAAAGTTTTGAAGAAGATACGCGGATGAGATGAGAGCCTATACTGAAGTAACAACTGATAGTCTCGGCGCTCAGAGATAAGATGATTTAATGACAGAGCGTACTCTATCGTTGAAAGGTTTAAGTCTCCGCAGTTTTCAAAAGGGCGGCAAAAGGAAAAAAGTTAACAGCCAGCGACTCATCAGCGGCTCGTTTCTCTATTTTCAATTGATCTTCATATACGATTAATGTTTCAGATACAAGAAGCAATCACACTGTCATTCGATTAATTCGACGCAGTCAAAAGAAATCAGTAGACGCGGAAGGTTTATATTATTTGCAAATAGAAATCGTTAATATTAACATCAAATATTAACATCTATCTATCTATCTATCTATCTATCTATCTATCTATCTATCTATCTATCTATCTGTCAGAATCTCTTCAAATGTTTTTCTCTCGCTATCTCAATATTTTCTTCTCTCTTTATCTTTGTCTTTTCATATCTATCTATCTATCTATCTATCTATCTATCTATCTATCTATCTATCTATCTATCTATCTCTTCAAATGTCTTTCCGTCTCGCTATCTCAGTCTTTTTTTCTCTCTCACTATCTCAGTCTTTTCGTTATCTATCTATCTATCTATCTATCTATCTATCTATCTATCTATCTATCTATCTATCTATCTATCTATCTATCCCAGTCTCTTCAAATGTCTTTCCGTCTCTCTATCTCAGTCTTTTCTTCTCTTTCTCTGTCGCTTTCTTTTCATATCTATCTATCTATCTATCTATCTATCTATCTATCTATCTATCTATCTATCTATCTATCTATCTATCTCAGCCTCTTCACATGTCTTTCTATCTTGCTATCTCAATCTTTACTTCTCTCTCTCTCTCAATCATCTCACTCTTCTCACTATCTTAATCATCGAAAACACAACTGCAGTCGTGTTTCAATTCTTATCAAATGCTTAGTTTAAATTTAACGTATGGCATATTTGATTTGTTGATCTAAGTATGCCCACAAACCTTATAGCTCCCAATTTTTTCTTTTTTTCGTAAGAGATGTTGTATTTTGTTTTTAAATCGAAATAAATCTTTCGCGCGGCAGTAATTTACATTCGCCTGATGAGATGCATTTGATACGCATCGAAACATGACTGCAATTGCGTAGCGATTTTGACATGTTTTCGATGTAATATCCTAAAATAATATATATATATATATATATATATAATAGATTGCAGGAATGCAAATCAAAGATGGATTTAAATATGATAGAATGATGCGATAAAGAACAAACTGGAAACGTTTATCAATCAAATTTGATTGATAAATATTTTCTATTTGTTATTTATCTTATCTGATATATATATATATATATATATATATATATATATATATATATATATATATATATATATATATATATATATATATATAGGCTAGGCGAGGCTAGACACGCGATTGCTTCAGGCCGGAATCGAATAGATAGCTGGTAAGATTGGAAGACTGTTTACGAACAGTCGAGGATAGAAAAACTTGGATAAATAATTTGATTGATTTGCATCCAGAAATCATCAGCGTTAACTAAATTAGGAAGATTGTTTTTCCTCTATAAATCGATTGATTTCATTATTCAAATTTGAATAAGCTATTTTATTCGATAGATTGCCTAACGACATCTACTGAGATAAACAGCGTAGAAATTGCGATGCCCTTCAGCTCGGCACGCAACCTACACTAAATGACTCATTAAGCTTTTGATAAGTTCGATAATGATTTAACAAGTCTAAGAAGGAAAACTTCTGAATAGCTGATCACGGACATGAGATGACATTTGCATCATTTAAAAGAAGTATCAACAATTAGGCGATTATTTAAAAAAAAAAATTAATCTTTCTAAAATCAATCTTCTTTGCCTAAAATGAGACTTTCATTTTTACACGTCTGAGATGGTATTTATTCATCGACAATGATCACGCAATTTTATATATATATATATATATATATATATATATATATATATATATATATATATATATATATATATTATGATAACTGGTGCGGTTATATTATAAACTAGGTTAAAAGTAGCATTAATCTAACTCCTGCGGATGACTAATTGTGTCTCAGCCTAAAAATAATGGGACCTCTGGTCCAGCTTAGAAAATAGTAATAATAATTTTGAAAAAAATAAGTTTGAATTCCTCAATTCACTCCAAGGAACTCAGAAACATCACTTTAACTCTGTTTCGAGCTATAAGTTCAATTGCTATTGCGGTTTGTTTTCAAGCTCCTTTGCCCTGTTTTTACCCAAATTAAGGAATGACCAAGACTGGCAACTGCTAGTCGAAATATTTCCATAAAAATAAATCATTCGTTGGAACTACAAGTTTTTTCCTTTAAAGTCTGATAGCATTCGGCGCTAAAAGCCATTCTTATTGCTTACATTGGGAGGGCTGGAAGAACTTAATATATAGTGTCTAAGTTGGAAATTAGAATGACCTTATTTCAGTACTGAGAACATTTCTTGACTATAGGACTGGGGACACTGATGGCTAGCCGGGATCCGTTAACGTAAAATATGTATGTTTCTTTTTGGAACATTAGCTGTTATATGTTCATTTATTCTTACCTACCCCCACTCCAGGTTTTATCTTTCAATATACCTTATTGGTCATATCAGGAGTCTCTTTACCCCTTAGTGCCGTAAGGGTGCCACATGTCGTGCACCTGCAGCAGTGGTGTGCAGAAGCCCACTAATCTTCTGACTGGTTTAAATTAGAGTTTTCCTCCTCCTAGACCTGTTGCTATATCAAAGCAAGATAGTCTAGACCGCTCTGCTATTTAACCTATAGAAGTGTAGGGGAAGAGACGTATATATACCCTCGCCAAGGATATTTGTATGGAAGTGAACGCATTGAACCCGAACAGAATTCGAACTTGGCTCGCTGATTTATCTTTGCTGATCGTTACACTGCTGCTTTCCTCCTTACGGTAATTGTATTATTTGGTTATTGTTTACTGTTACTTGATTAAAAAAATAATTTCACCCTAAGCAAGGCCATAATGCCCCTAAGACACAAGAGGTTACTGAGAGTGGAAGAGAAGACGAAGACTTTAGTGAGGAGAAAGGATATTAAAAGAACAGATTCAGGAAGAGAGAAGATAGCGTTTGGGTTTGCATTTAATTTTTTGAAGATTGTAGGTGGCAGGGAAGTAATAAATCGGGAAGGAGTTCCACAGGAAAGAAGTGTGAAAAAGAAACTACTGAGTCCGAGATTTTATTTTAGTTCTACAACAATTTGCTGCCGTTTGATTTAATGTTAATGAAATTTTTCAAAACTATTATAAAGCGTGTTTCTATAACTTGGACTGATTTTAAATGTGAATTAAGTTTAAGCATCTAATGATTTTTTTTTCTTTTTGAATGAGAAGTTCCCAGCTTGCATCATCTCTCAAAACAGCGAAGTCAATTGGCCACCACGATTGTGCGACTTGACGCCATTAAATTTCTTCCTTTGGGGTCATGTCAAAAGTAAGGTCTATGCCGACAAGTCAACAACAATTCAACAGCTGGAGGATGAGATAATAAGCCATAGTAGTGAGATTGAGGAGCAGCTATGCAGAGATTTCATCAAAAATGTTGACCATCGAGTGGAGGTGTTCCGCCGAAGCCTTGGGTGACATTTGGGCGATATTATTTTTTACACATCATTGCCATGACTTAAATAACAAGTTCCAATAGAGAAATAAATAAATTGTCACCAATAACACTGATTTATTTACTGTTGACTTTGATCCGTCTTAATGAAACACCCTTTATAAAGAGCTATTAAAATACTTCCAAATTTGCTTTGTGCGCATACCTTGAGAATGTTTAGATCATCTATTATGTAAGCGATTTTTTAGAGACCAATTCTGATGCATGCTGAGGAGGTTGGAATGAATCGTTCTCTGTTTGATTGATAACATAACTAATTGATAATTTGAATGAATAACGTCCCGTTTAATGTTAACTGTGAGAATTTTGTTTTTCGCTTAAAACGCGTTTTCTTTTAAAAGACGCGGTTGTTATCAGAAATTCTTACGTCCATATCAGGTTAAAACATCGGTTCTCGTACGGTCACCGAAGTTAAGCAACGTCGAACCTGGTCAGTACCTAGGTGGGTGACTGTTTGGGAATACAAGGTGCTGTAAGCTTGGATGTGCAGGTGGTGTAAAGGATAACGGTTCGAAAGCGGAGATCGGATAGCCGAGTAACAATTTCTGTCGTTATTTATATATATATATATATATATATTAGCTTACGCGCATATACTTTTGGGGAAGGTATGAATCCATTTGTTCTCCCCGCTATGGGTTAATTAATAAGACTTGTATCAGTAAATCATTGTTATCTCCAAAACATTTTTTAGAATTTAAAGATATTTTCTGGTTTTAAATAACCTGCAAAAGGTTGAAAAACCGTAAAAAATAATCAATCAATCAAAGCAAACACTCTTTATTTGATTAGAATAAATCGATTTGTTACTTACATTGATATTTTCAGTTGTCAGCCTTCACGTGATAAAAGCAAAATTGATCAAAACATTATTTGTTTGTTTTTAATTTAATTTTATCATAAATAATCGAACTGACCGATTTTTTTTTTTTAAATAGGGCGTCATGTTTGCCAAAAAGATTGTGTAAGATTTTTATTTTTTTATCATAAGACGATTTCATCCTCTTAATCTTCGACTAAAAGACAGACTTACAAAGAACTATCAGCACGAAAAGAGCGCAAAAAAGATCAATTAATTTGTTTTTACGTTGAGGATGATATTTTTACCTATAAATCTAATCCGCACGGAATGAAACAAAAACCACTCGGTAAACATAACAATCTTGTAGGAGAAAACAAATCTATGAATTACAAATAGATCTTATTTGACTATCGTAAAAGTCCGGTAATCAATACGCTAATTAGTTTGTATTAAAACAGCTAAAACTGCGTGTGTCTTTTTAAGACGTAGAAACGAGGTTAATTATGAAGATTTAAAAACAGGAAGATTAATCCTCGGGAGATATTAATCTTAAAGCATTCAGTAGATTACAGGAAAAATCAGGAAAGACATGAGGAACCGATTATTTACGAAAGTTGTTGTAACACCAATTTAAGTTTCATTATCTCAGAACTTTAGATTAATAACATTTATAACAAAATAACTTAAAAGCCGTACCCCATGCAAGTAAAGCAGATATAGTCCGAGTTCACAAAGTTTTGGAGATATTTTAAACTGAATTTAAGCCTCTACATTAAAATGCATGTTAAAAATAGATATATACAAACTAAGACAAGAAAAAGCAGAACTGGACTTTATTTAATTTTCTATAATAATATACTAAACAAATAATGCGATATGATAAATAAAAGACTAAAGGAAATTATTATTTTAACTACCGTATATATCCTTTTTGCGATGATGTTGAACAAAAAACAACTGGATGTGCATCTCAACAAACCGTTTAAAGACAACTCTTGAGAATACTGGTAAGAATATAATGTTAGAGAGGAAATGTTCAGGTTACCGTAATAGCCTATCGAAAACACAGTACCCACTCATGAGGTATTGTAGAGTGTGGCAGTTATTTGACAATATCTCCCCCACCGTTTTCTCATTAGAATTTGAGGGAAAACCAAGTATATGCTTACTGGATTTATTTAATAAATTCAATAGGGCACATTTTAAAATACGTTTGTGGGGGTCGTCTTGTACGGCGAATATAGCCCGAAACCGACATTTTAACTTGAAAATTTGGTAGTCGCCTTATACGTCCAGTCGTCTTGTACGTTAGCATATACGTTA